ACATCAGCAATGTCGTCTGAAAGACGTCCGCCCCATTCCAATGCCAACTCCCATAGTCTCTGAAACAACAGCTTTACCGTAACGTCGATGGGAGCGAACACTCCGAGAGGATCATATATCCGGCATCCGGGCTTATGTCTTTAGGAGGCTGCGCTTGGTTACCTTTCTCTTGTCCACTAACTCGAGCATGTTTTTAAGTTCATATTTTGCCGATCATCTTTCCGGTTTCATAGCAGACCGATAATATTTACGTCTTCTGTGTTGTCACCAGTGGCTCGTGTCGCCTCGTTCGCTCAGTTTGAAGTGAAAAACCGCTGCAGGTTGTCATTGCCTCTGTTGGCAGCGTGGCTCACCATGATATGTCCCTGTAGAGACCACCCGAAAATGGTCTCAACTGCAGTCAATGAAAGGTTGACGCGATATACGTTTCCGGTGGTGACTCTCCAATATTAGTCTGCTCCTATTAGAATGCTCCCTCTACGCTCCCCTTCACGGTCCCCCACAGGTAGGTCAGCGAGTGTGATTGCTTGTCTTCGTAGGTTTCTGAAGATGTTGTCGTCAGTGAGAGTAAGGATCTCTCCGCAGATTTCCGGAACCTCCGAAGCCTCGACTAAGATCACGGCTGGCCCGTGATGGCTTCGGAGAACAACTTCCAGACGACGACAGTTTCTTTTTGTTCCACGCCCTGAGTCGCCAAAAGCGAATATCGTTAGCTCTTCCTCTCCAATTGGTCGACACCCAAGCCTTTCATAGGTGTCTTAACCGATGAAGGTTCGTTCACTCCCTCCGTCGATCAGTGCTTGTAAGGACGTTTCATTCTGACCACTCGCTCGTATCTTGGCTCTCTGACGCAGTACTTGTTTGCGAGCTGTCGTACTGGAGCTCGAGATGCCGATAAATTATGGAGGAGTCGAACTGGTACTAGTTGGTTGCCTTGTCGCCGCCCACTCGAGGTCACACATTACGGTCAGGTTTTTTCCGCAGCACTTTGCACACGGACGTTTGTGCGCGGATCTGCACTCTCTGGAGCGATGGAACTGTTTAGCGCACCAAAAGCAACTGTTTTTCACTTTCAGCTTGTCCTCTTTTCTTTGATAATTAAAGGGGACGTGCAATTCTCTTAGTTGTGCTCCTTCGAGCTGCAGAATACGCAGCGCCTTAGTTCAGGTTTCGTGCCACCGGTCAATGCTTCCGCCGATCCTTCCCTCTCGGTGTGGCGTTCTCGGCGGTGTGAATCGCGTGCGGGTTGTTGTGATGCGTGGGGTGTGAGCTGGTGGTACTTCTCTCTGTTTTCTACCTCGATTTCAATTAACTCGAGAAGCCTACTGAGTTCATTTGTGTCTTCGCTCTGTGGCCGTTTTTCGACAATCAAGCTGCGATTGAATCTGACTATGAGCTCTAAAGGGAGAGTTTTTGTAGTACAGTATGCAGTAGTACCCCATACAAGTCCGAGTCCACTCCTAAGCTTTCTAGACTCCTCATCCGGGTCACCACAACGTCATAGAGTCTCCGGAGTTCATCCACAGCGTCTGACATCGGGATTGGTCCAAGAGGTGTGTGAGGTGTTCGTTCACGATCACAGAAGTTTGACCAAATCTCTTTTTGAGCAGCTCTACGGCCGTGTCGTAGTTGTCACCGATTACCGGAATCCCTTTGATCACCGCCTCAGCTCGGTCGACCAGGTGCACCCTGAGGTACTTCAGCTTATCCACGAGAGACAAGATGGGGTTCTTATCGATTGACGATTAAAATTGGTCCTAGGATGTCTGCCACTCCACCAGTTGCCGTTGAATTTCGTGAGCTCCAACTTCGGTAATTTCACGTTTGGGGAAGTCGCATTGTACATGCCTTGTTCCTTTGAATGTGGCACATTGTTAGAGGCCGAAGAGGTCGTTTCGTTGTTCTTCGGCTGTAGCTTTTGTAATTCTCTCAAAGCTATCGACCTGGCTATGCTTATGGAGTCTTTATCGCCGAGGCTAGCTCCCATTCCCTCTTCCATGTTGTTCTCATCAACAAGGTCCGCTATCAGCGTGTCGAACTCCCGAACCGATTTTTCTTTAAACGTAAGAAGGGTGATATTATCTTCAACCTCACCTTGCTGTGCGGGAAGTTGGTCCATTGCTGTTTTCATCTCGTTGATGAGCTTTGTGATCGCGGATCGGACGACTCTTCTTTTCTTCTTGAGCTCCTCCATAGCAGCCGCTGTCGTTCACGTTTTTCGGTTGCTTGGGTTGCCCGAAGTGGTTCTGGCTTGCGTTGAACGTCTTTTCTTTGCGATTTGGTCCCGGGTCTCGGCCGCAAAGTTTTGTTAAATAGCGTTAAGAAGAGGAATAAAAAAGGTTTATGTACAATATTTACATTGGTGGGAAACGTTGTGATACGTTGAGGCGCTCGGTATGCGTTACGTCGTTCGGTATTCGTTGAGGCGATCTGAGTTCAGCACTTCGTTGTCGTCATTCTGCTATTTCGTTTTTCTCGCGATCTAGCATGTCCTTTTCATCGTTTCACTGAAGAAATAAAGTTTTAATAAAATCATTGTATAGACACTATTCGGGCAGCGAAGTGTTTGTCCCGACCTTCTGGATAAGAAGTTTTGATGGATACAAGACGTCCCAGCATTCCGGATCATTTGAAACGGGAACAAGAGGCCTAGCGGTTATAATAGCCGACACCTCCACCAGGAATGTCCCTAAAGTTTTGTGTCTAAGACGGCTTTGGTTGTGATCTAGCAACATAGAATCTAAGATGCGGCGTGCTATCCCGATCATACACTCCCAAGTTCCTTCAAAGTTTGAAGAATGAGGAGGGTTAAACACCCAACATTAGTTCTGTCTTGGGTAGCACGTCTGCACTTTGTTGGTGTTGAGATGATTAGTCTTCAATTCGAGATCTGAACATGCTCCGTGAAATTGATCCCACAGTAAGATCGCAGCTGCTTTGCAGGCCCTTTGTTTGCAAAAAATCTTCTGAGGGCGTTATTAAAACTTGATGTGTCCATAGACTCTATGACCTCAGTGCGTACCACCCGGATGTGCATACATGTAAACAGCACTGCCCAGCGGTTGCTGCTGGCATGTCTGCCTCTAGTGCGAAGCGCAGCCACATTCCATGGTCCGAAAACATCAACCCCCACATTTGTAAAGGCAGGATCTGTACTGAATCGATCTGCAGGAAGATCTGGTATTTTCTGATCCAGCTGTCTTCCTCGCAGTGTGCAGTACATGAGGCACCTGTGGATGTGCGGGGCGATGTGAGGTTTTGCTCTGATGTTCCAGAATCCTGCTGCTCTGATTGCGACTTCAGTAATGTTTCGACCTTGATGCTTGATCTGCTAGTGGTAGCGCCGCTCTAGCTGCATAGCAATGTGGTGCTTACCATGTATAATGAGGGGTTTCCGCTTTTCTTTGGTCAACTGTGCTGCTTTGTCAATACGACCCTTGATCCTAACAAGCCCTCGTCGTCAATAAAGGGATCCAGTTTCCAAAACGAGCTTGATATAGACACTCCTCTTTTCCGCGTCAAACGCCGGAGCTCCTCTGCATAGGTTTCGTCCTGGACGGAACGAATGACGAAATTATTTTGAAGAGTCCGATGTTCCACAGAGACTTGACTCGCTCGAAAGCAACTGTTTGGCAGACCTGCCGAATTAACATGACACGGCCGCCGGAAGCAGTGAGATGCGCGTACGAGGTAGGCTACTGCAGGCATCAGTCTGGCCTAGCTTGAAAATGGCCGAAGCGATTAGTTACGTGTCTCAAGTTCTCTCATTTAGTCGTGCTGAAGGTATGAATCTTATTCCAAGATCTGCAGGATTTACGTCAGTCGGAACGTAGTGCCATTGGTCTGGCTGTGTAGACGACCTAATCCGTTCCACTTTGTTAATGACGTACATGTAAACCCTTCTTGTTTGGTTGTGCATGTAAGCTAAGGCCGTTCCGCAGTAAGTGTAAGGCTGTGTCGCATCAAGTTGTACACCCATTTCACGTTGAATGACCTCTGCCAGCTCAATGGCTAGCACAGCGCCACACAGCTCGGGTCTTAGAATGGTGTGCTTGGGGCGTTGTGCTAGTTTCGCTTTGCCCATAATAAAGCCTACATGACAGGCGCCTTTTAAGTTTATGAATCAGACACGCCACAGCTGCTACAGCTTTGGTCGAGGCATCTGAGAGGATATGTAAATCCTTCTGTTGAGCCGCACTAAGTGAGACGGCCGAATAGGCGCCAGGAATTTCCAGCTACTCGAAAAATTGCACAGGATCCTTACAGATCTCCCACGCTCTTCTCTTGTCATCGGGAAGTGGTGAGTCCAAGTCACAAGTTTCCGTGATAAGTTCTCTAAGAGACTTTCCTGAAACTGTGACTGGAACCACAAATCCCAACGGGTCGTACAGGCTGTTCAAAATTGAAGACACATTGCCGGCTGAATGGTCTTTAGTTAAACGGAATCCGGAGGGTGAGAGCGTCTTTCTTCAAATCCCAAGAAATTCCAAGACTTCTTTGGATAGGTGGGTTATCACAACCCAGATCGAGTTCCTTTAGATCTTTTGCGCGGTCCTCGTAGAGCTCTTCTTGTACTTTATTGCTTTTGTAAGTTATTTAGTAAAGCCAAAGGTTACAAACTGCAAACATCTGTTGCGTGCGTCTCAGTAGGTCAATGGCAACTTCTGTCGGAAGAGACTTCAATCCATCGTACTCATAGAAGTCTCCTTTAACATACTGCCTCGCAACCCTGTTAAATTCTTCTTCTCAATCTCGTGCTGTCCTTCGGAAATCGTATCTAGCAAGAGCTGGTGATGGACTCTTACCAAAGAGCTGTACTCTCATCCGGTACTCCACGACATTGTCATTGATATCGTTTTAGCTAACCCACAAGAACCTGAAATAATTTCGGTGGTCTTCTCGCACTATAAAGCAATAAAACATATGCTGAATGTCTGCTGTTACAGCAATTAGTTCTTTTCTGAAACCAATCAGCACAGCCAGCACGCTGTTCGTCAGGTATGGTCCGGTGAGTAGAGGACTGTTGTGTGAAGTATTGTTGAACGTTGCGCTAGAATCGAAGACAACTTTGTTTTCATCTAGTTTTCGTTGGTAATACACACCGAAGGTAGGAAAAGTACCAACAATCTTCTTTCTTATTGACGGTGTAGCTTCTTCCGCACGACCGTTCTTGAACGTCTTGTCCATAAAGGTTATGAAATGTTATTTATCTCTGCTTCCATTTTATGTGTGTCTTGCATAGATGAGAAACGAAATTGCGGAAGCACCTAGTCATTTGGGAGTCGTTGTCTTGGCTCAGGAAAGAGAAGAGGTACTACCCAGCTACACAACTCATCCTTGAAGACTTCACTCTATCGTGTTCAAGAACCCTTTACCCTCCATCGAAGGAGCGGTTCGGTTTTCGTCTTTGGTCGTCTGGAACAACTGAACTGTCACATCTTTATCGAACTTGTTTTGAACTGGCGGTGTAAGCTGGGTCAGTTCTCGGAATCCGGTGAATTTTTCTTAAATAGAAATGGTTACGGCATGGTAAAAAAATAAAGGTCGTCCGTTTTCAAGCATTTTTGTCTTGAAGGTAGTCACACAGTCCGGCTTCCCCATGCGACAATGCAAACAATGACGATCACCCGTCCAAGGACCAGTCGTTGAGCGAATGGAGCATCGGGAGGTCTATTGCAATGCTGGTGTACATTCTGAACTCAAATTATGTCTCTGCCCAACAGAAGCAGAACCTGTAAAAGGGTGGTGAGCTGGGCTATTTGGTAAGCATTATACATTGTTAAAATCAGCGAGCAACGTAAGGACACTGTAAAAGGATACAAGAGACCGGACAGACGCTGAGCTCACAACACAATATTTAATCCAGAAGAGAAGAGAGAAAATTACATATAACTAACAGGCACGTGCTCATGACACGAGAACTCTAGGGAGCGGGGCAATGGCTTTTTCACATCAACGCGTTTGAAAACAAAAACTTCCTTTTCAGATAGAGTAACAGAAGGATGACTCACGCAGTGCTCCCCCAGACCTTGTATAATATACGCCTCGTAAATTTTTCTGGGGAGTTTTCCCTTACATCGACCTATGATAACTGTGCAGGACAGATTTGGAGTACATGTACAGGCTTGGCAGTGCAGAGGCAAGTGGCTTCCCACCGTCGACTTTATATACAGGTTATGTTCACGTAGCCTATAATGAATACATCTTCTTGTCTGTCCCACGCACGTCCTACCACATGTTAAGGGAATGCTCTATAACAGGGGTCGGCAACCCACGGTCCGCGGGCCGCATGCGGCCCGCGGGGGAGTTTTATGCGGCCCCCGGCACGGACCTCCCAGAAAAGGACCCCCCCCCCCTTTCCCCCCCCCCCCTTTGCAGCTTACTCACAGACCCAAGAAGCACTGGGAAGTTAGGACCATAAAAGGTGTTAGACAGGAATATGGAGCGCTTCCAATCCGCCTCGCAAGTGGGCTCATTTTCGTCTTCTGCGCATGAGAAAGGAAGTAGCGGTGACGTGAGAACGCCGAGCCCTGATTGGCTGATCGCGACCCCCTATCTGAGCGTCGTCTGCTCCTTTGCAACGTCGTCTGCTCGGCACGCCGCCTGCGTCTGTCTTACATTTCCTGCGACTTTTGGAAGTCGAGCGAGCTCGACTTCGCCTTTCAGAGAGGGCAGACGAAATAACTCGAGCGGTACGTTGTTTTTGTCTAACAACTAGCAGACGCGCATCAAGGAGGGAAGTCAAAGGACTCACTGGCGAGGTGTCCCGAAGCGCCGAGGTTTGTTTGCTAAGAACCGAGAGTGAGGGTGGTTAGTGTCCGCAAGTTCCCTCCGAAATACTTTTTCCCTCCTTTCGTGTGCGGCGAGACTCCTCACTCTTTAACGGCGTCAAAGCGATGTCTGCTTTACCTTTCCTGCGTCTGTCGGAAATTCACCCCTTTTTTAACGGCGAGAGTCACCGTTGCCTCGAAAAACAAGAAGATGACAAGAGGAAGAGATTGACCTCTTAATCTAAAATTGAGGTCAGCGATCAAAGTAAAAGACGCGAAGGGTTCACAAGGGTCGCGTGGGCATATTCCATTCAGCACGCCAGCCGGTCGTGGGCAGACGGTCGCCGAGTCGGAGTGCCTGCTAGGCCTATCTGCCGTGCTCGCTTGGTCGTTGTCGGTGGAATCGTGGCCGTTGGAGCTTTTCCCGGGTGTTTGTGGATCCAGTGTTCTTGTTCGTCGTGGTCTGTTTCAAGTACTTTTTTCTTGCTGCTTGAAGTCGGGACGCGTGAGAAGCGCACGTAGAAAAACAAACGTCCGTGGGTCGTCGCGACCGCGACGCTGTCGGACATGCTGATTTGATGGTAAGAAGTGCGTAAGACAACTTCGGAGCTGCCGTAGGATATCGTCGTAATTTGCGCAAAACTTACGAAAATTTCGTTTCGTGAGTACGAATTTGTTCTCAAGTTTTGTCTTACGCATATTTTTGGCGTAAGATCGTTTTGTAAACCTGGCCTCTGCCCTCTGCACTTCCGAAAGTCGCAGGAAAGGTAAGACAGACGCAGACGACGTTGCGAGCAGACGACGTTGCAAAGGAGCAGACGACGCTCAGATAGGTGGTCGCGATCATCCAATCAGGGCTCGAAGTTCTGACGTCACCGCTACCCCCTGCGCAAGAAGCAGACAAACTTGCCCACCGTATTAACATTGTCCGGCATCCCTATACTTGGGCAGAGAACGCCTTAACTTCATTTTTGCGTTTTCTTGTCTCCCCCCCCCCCCCCCCCCCCCGCCTCCCCGACTTGCCGTCTGGTCCCCTCCGTGTCAACTTCGTGACGACTCGGCCCGCCGCTCCAAAAGGTTGCCGGCCACTGCTATACCATGCGTGAGGTACAGGACACAAACTATATAGCATGTTTCTTTTTACATTGCATTCGAGATACTTTGTCCAAATTTAAGTGCTGTCACGGAGCAAATCTGGGCTATTTTTAGGCGCTGAAAAAACAACTGGAACTTGATATCGTTGGGCGACATGTTTAACTTGTGCAGTACCTTGTGCAATCGTGGAACCACTGCCACCATTTAATCAATCAATCAATCAATGTTTATTTTTTTTCTCTTGTGTTAACCAACAGCTCGAAAGCCTACTGGGTTAAGCACACACAATTGAAATACACCCAAAATACAGAGTAGACAAAATAAAAAGTTGTGAAAAAAAAACAAAAAAACATGCAAGCACACAAACGTGTATATATGCCAATTAAAAACACATGCATCAAAATGATCGTTCTTCAAAAGACAGGTTTGTACTAAAAATATCGACGTCAGTAAATTGCGTGTTTAAAACATGTTGGATACGCGAAACCGGTGATGCGTTTCGAATGAGGTCTGGGTAAAAGACTCTAGGATTTCTAGAGTTCGTTCTAAGTGGTATGCGAAAGTGAACACAGGTGAGGAGAGTACGGCTATCTATTGCATTATGAATTAGCCTATGTAAAAACTGAACATCCCGAATAGACCTTCTTTTACCTAAGGTGCCCAATGTTAATTTTGCTAAAATCGAATTATTTTCATAAAAACACTTTCTTCCAAAATATCGGTTGTAAATGATGCGCACAAATCGCTTTTGTACATGTTCTATACTTTCACTTGCTGTTATAGATATGCAGTTCCAGACTACAGATGCAAATTCTAGTTTCGAACGTACATGGGTACTATATAATTTCAAGAGACAGTGATGAGTGATAAATGGTCTAGTTAAGCGAGACATTATTCCTAGCGTGCGCAATGACTGGCTGATAATGGAGTTTACATGAGAAAGGAAAAAAAGATGGTCGTCCACAAGAACACCTAGGTCTCGCATCTGCGTGGTCCGACAGATCGTTTCATTTTCCAGAACATATGCATAGGATAAATTGTGACGCTTTCTTGACAGCGACATGACTTTTGTTTTGCGCGGATTTAAGAAAAGATTGTTTGAACTGCACCATTCTACCACTGAACGAAGATCGTCCTGCAGCAAAGTACAGTCAGTGATTGAGGTGACCTCCCGAAACAACTTCACGTCATCTGCGAACATAAGTAATTGAGAGTGTTTTATGGACGACACCAAATCATTTATAAAAATAAGAAACAACAAAGGTACAAGGTTTGAGCCTTGGGGCACTCCTGACATAGAAATGAATGGACGAGACAAGAAGCCAGATACCCTTACACAGTTCTGCCTTTTATGAAGATAACTCCTAAACCAGGTATTGTACTCAGGACTCAGGCCATAGTCCCCAAGTTTCAGCAATAACAGCTCATGATTGACCTGATCGAAGGCTTTGGACATATCCAGATATATTGCGTCTACTTGGCCCCGAGACTGAATTATTGGAAAAGCAAAATTTAAAAATGTGCACAGATTTGTCTCGACGGATCTGCCTTTGACGAAACCGTGCTGTACAAGAACAAACTTTCTTTTAAAATAATTATACAAACGATTGTACACCAGCTTCTCAAAAACCCTTTGAAAATGCATTGAGAAGGGAAACAGGACGATAGTTATTAACATCACAAGAATTACCTGACTTGAAAATCGGGACTACTATTGAATATTTCCATTTTTCTGGAAAGACACCACTTTGTATAGACAAGTTAAACACTTTTTCAAGAACAGGAGCAAAACATTCGGCACATCCTTTTAGAACGAAGTTCGGAATACCATCTGAACCTGTGGACAGTTCAGAATTCAGCTTTCCAATAGCTAAAAGCACTTCGTGAACAGTACATCTAGTAAAAGGTAAATAGTCATCAAAAGTAGTATTACATGTCATGGGTACAGGGGTGTTGACATTGGAAAAGCATGAACTGAAATGATGCGAAAACAACTCACAAACAGATTTTGGGGACGTTTCAATAACTGACCCGTTGCTCAGCGTTATATCGTTAAAGTTCTTCGTGGTATGCTTTTTTACATAGCGCCAGAATTCTTCTGGTCGCTTGTTCAGGTTACGCTCCATCTGCCTGCGGTAGTGAT